GGTAGAAAACATTACCGTTACAATAATTATAGTAGTTGAAATGATTATTTTACCTTATATCATCATTCTTTTCCAATAAGATTTCTAATTTGTGCTATATTTTACTATATTTGTCTTTCTGCAGATATTTGCACGGACAAAGTTCTCATTTGTGCTATGGTTTTTTAACATATTTTTTCTTCTATGCAATCGTGTTTATGAAAGATATTCATTCTTTATTTTTATGTGTTAGCTAAGGTCATGTCTTAGCTATTACTTTACATCGTTGATTAATTGTTTCAAATTCGACATTATGCTCCTTTCACTTATTGAATTTGTCTTCTTTTATTATTATCTAGGCAACAATGGGCATATTTGGACAACTATCGTGGCACTTTTAAATGGCACATTTGCTTTGATTTTGGTATTTTCTTAAACTTATTTTACCTTTCTAGATTTTATTGCTGAATACATTCTTGGAGGCTCAATATACAAGTCAAAAAAAATAATTTGGTGTGGTTGGTTCCACTTAGAAAATTCTGTTTTTTATGGTTATTTTGCGAATGATCAGTTTTGGATACGTGATTGGCACATCAGGATTCTCTTTTTGATCAGCAGATAAACTAATAGCAGGTATGCCAAATTTGCCTCTCTTTTTTGTTTTTTGCATATTTAGTAGGAAAGCTTGCTCTCTATCTGAAATTATATCTAAAAAAATTGATCAATATGTATCGCCCAGTTTTTCTTAAGTACTTACAAATACACAAGCACATTTGAAATTATATTCTTCTGCATGCCAACAAAGAGTATATATATATTTTCTTAATATATGTATTTTACTTGTCGGTGATCTCAGAAGCACTTTCATCGCTACCACACTTTTAAGTCTGGAAAAACATGCTACCGGTCCTTGCAGGTTAGCCTATTGTTTAGCATGAGCCTACTTATTCCAGTATCTTCTATTAATTTATTGTTATGCTTTGAGGGATTTTGTTCTTTCCTTTCCTTCCAGTTTATAATTTTGTTGGTGTTGTCTAGGAGAGAAGTATCCAGAAGGATAAGTATTCCTCTAGAATATACCTTGCTCATTTGGTATATGCCTCAGTTTACATTGCTGGTCATATTATAAGCTTCAATGCCTTTACCTCGCAATATATATAAGAGGTACTTTTTGCTGTTGACTTGTATGAGAGAATTGGATTAGATTTTTCTGTTGAAATTTCACTTTCTCTATGTTATGATCCTGGATGTAGAAGATTGTTATTGAATTTAAGTGTGAAACAATTTTAATCAATCAATTCCATTACATCTTGTATTTCTAGTTTATTATGTGATGGGGGACAATAAATGATAAAAATTAAAAAAATACAAGAAAAAAAATTCAGAAAAAGAAGGAAGTTGAAGAAAAAAAACAAGGATTGGAGATATCCAAAGTTTATAATATTTTCATTAATTATTAAAACTATCTCACAAAATGATAGATAAACATATAAATAGTAAAACTTTAAAACATCTTATTATTGGGCTCAGCCCATCAAATCAAATTATTTAATATAAATAATTTTAAATATATAAAATAACAATAAGACAAGCCTAAATGGACTTAGTTTCCTAACCAAGACGTGAGAAAATGGGTCATTCTACATCGTCTCTGTCCATAAACACATGTAATTTGCGGTGTGGGTTTGGTGTCCCCACCAACTCTCCCGGGGTTAGAAAAACTCAACCTTGTGAGTGTAGTATTGATTGACTTTGATAGTTCTCCCAAAGTGTTGGATCAATTTGCTGCAAAGTATCTTTAGTGATTAAAGTGCAATCTAAATCACTTAACCCACCTAATGAACTAGAAACTGTTGAATTTCACCATTCCTGTTAAAAACAACTTGTTCATCCAGAATAGCATCAATATTATTTTTTTATGCTGATGTTAAGTTTGAAGGGATAAAGATTTCAATAAGATGATCAAGATGGAAGTTAAGTGATATCTCAAATGGATTATTTGGAATAGGAAGTAGATTATAATATGTAATTAGATCATCAATGTTAAATGTAAAGCTAATGTCAAAATCATGTGGTAAATCAAGAACATAAGTATTTGAACCAACCCGTTATAGCACTTTGAAAGGCTTGGCACTACATGCATACAATTTTCGATTAGTCCTCAAAGGAAACTGTTCGAGCCTAATCCGTATCATAACATAGTCTCCCATATTAAACTTATTATGTCATCTATGTAAATCAACTTGAAGTTTGTATTGCACATTACTTGCTTGAATCTGTTTAGTGATCTCAATATGCAAATCCTGAATTTTACGTGTAAAAAACTCAGCTGACTCAGACACTCTGGCATAAATGGACAAAAAAAAAAAGAAGCTCTAAAGGTTTCCTGGGCTTGTAACCATATACCACTTTAAAGGAACTCATGCCTATTGACTTATTGATAAAGCTATTATAGGCAAACTGAGCCATAGGAAGAATTAGATCCTAATTCTTATTATGATCATTCACTAGACACCTCAAAAAGTTGTCTAAACTCCTGTTAATCACTGCAGTTTGACCATTAGTTTGGGGGTGCTAAACAGTAAAAAACTTTAATTTGGTTACCATTATATGTCAAAGGATTTTTTTAAAAAATAACTTGTAAATTTAACATCCCTATCTGCAACCATAGTTTAGGGAAAACCATACAACTTGACAATCTTGTCAAAATAAAGTTTTACAACTTAATCCTGTAAATAAAATGGACCATTTTAGAGAAGTAGTCGACAACCACAAAAATATAATCATGTTTCTTTACAATACATAGAAGCCCAAGCATAAAATTCATACTTACATCTTGCCAAAGGCAAGTGGAAACGGGCTCTTGTCATCATATCCAGCATGTCATCTAATCAAGGAATTGGAAAATGATAATTGAATATAATCCTATTAATGGCTCAACTATCTACAACCATTCTTAATTATCCATCTTTCTTAGGTGTTAACAGTGCATGTGTTGCACAAGGACTCAAACTCTCTTGTATAAATTCTTTTTATAACAACTCACATAATTACCTTTTCAATTGAGCATGTCCCCTTTGGTTCATCCTATAATAAGGCAAGTTTGGTAATGTGGCACCAAGGACAAAATCCATGCAAAGTCTGCAATATTTTTATTAATCATCAAAATTGTCTCACAAAATGACAAAAAAACATATAAATAGTAAAACATAAAATATCTTATTATTGGGCTCAATCTATCAAATCAAACTGTTTAACATAAATAATTTCAAATAAATAAAATAACAACAAAACAAGCTCAAATAGATGTAGTCTCCTAATCAAAGCGTGATGGGCTGAACCATTCTATGTTGTCTTTATCTATATACCCATGTAATTTGCGGTGTGGATCCGGTATCCCTGCCATTATGGTACAATGTTCTTGCAGATAGATGTGACACAAAATAATTATACAAGGATGCGTCGTGGTATAGTTTACGTGTTCATGTTTTTTTTTTCCCTGATGGAACTAATGATATATCTAAGTTATAATCAGTGGTCTCTGGAAACTGTTATCTCCCATGGACATATTCATCATTGTATATGGGATAAGATGACCTTTTCAATGTTGCAAGTTTTCAGTGTTTTAATCTTTAAATTATATAGCATTTTTTGTACATGCAAATGAAACGGAGGACAAATGAACTTCACAAAGAGGACTGGATGCCAATGGCAACCGTGAACAAAATGATATACCAAAGCCGCATCATCTACAATAATGGTAGCTGTAAATAAGGAAACATGCATGCTGAGCTTTTAAAGAATCATCCATGCTCAGCATGTTGAGAGGCTCATTTCTTAAAATAAACCAAACTGAATTAAATGTAGACATGTGGAAAAAAATAACATTAAACATATTAAGAAATAATAAAATACTTTTTTTTTACTCTAATATAAATAACTCTTTAAATAGTTTTTTGCCATTGGAATAGATATGGTAAAATAAGCTATATTTATACTATTCAAAATACTATCTTATTAATTTAACTTTTCAAAATAACATTTTAAATTGGAAATACTCTTCTCAGGTGAAACTTGCACCACTTTACCTAACCTTGATCTCACCATCACAACTTTATAAATTATGTTCAGGTACATGTATATTATTCCTCTTGGCGGATCACACAGAAAGCCACTCAAGATATGGCTTATGTTTATATTTGTTACCATCTGGCATGATCTAGAGTGGTAATCCTAACTTCTGTTAAGTTTTCCCTTTAATTCACTTTCTTTTATTTATTTAACGTACTCTATATCTGACAGTTTATTCCCTTTGGTCACAGGAAACTTCTTTCATGGGCATGGTTAACATGTTTATTCTTTATCCCAGAAATGGTAGTGAAATCAGTAGCAAATCCATTATGGGTGATCTTTCTATTTACCAATACCAAGCAGTAAAACAATTTGAATCTTACTTCAACGCACACATTAAGTGCTTGGGCAATTTTTGCAAGAAGGCATTGCACTCCACGCAAGCAGTATTAAATTGTGTGGTTACAATCACGTGGTCAAAACACAAGACACATGTGGTTGATGTCATTAACTGAAAGCCTTGCGGCTGACTTGTGTTTTGGTTGCAAAACTTCTTGTTCCAAGAATTGACCATGTTCACAAATGGCTAATGTTCTAATGTTTACACCAATTGTGTGAAAAGTGAAACATCTTCCTAGCACTCCATACCGAAGGACCAGTAAAGCAAAATATCATATACAGTCTAGTATGGTTGATGGTAAGGGAAATACCCAAAACTTCAGAGATATGGTGACAAAATTAAATTCAAAGGGAAGTCTTGTGATGCATGCCAAATGGATAAAGACCTTTGAGTCAGTGAGTCGCTGCTGGAGACTAAAAACATTGCCTATTTGGACCATCAGGCATTAATTGGTTGCATTCACAATTTCGACTATTTGGACCATCAGGCATTAATTGGTTGTATTCACAATTTCGAACAAGTTATCAAGTGCCTATTTCCTTCAACACTAATTTAGGTTTTTCTTTTTCTTTTTTCTTTTTTTGTTGGGTATATTAGAGTGCCACACAACTTGTTTGTCAACATTAAAACCTTTTATCTGGGGGCTTCAAAAGTTAGAGAATCCATATCTTCAGAAGCCACTGCATGGACCTGAAACACACGGGAAGCAACATGATTCATCAAAAACTATTCCCTAAAGAGAAATTGAGAAACCTTAGGGAAAGGCATGATTTTACAACATTTTAATATAACTAAAGGCATGAATCTAATTGCTGTCGTAAAGCCATCATAAGAATCAAGGCTCATTGATAAAAAATTATGTGATGAATTTTAGACAATGAAGCAAGCAAATCATGTCTCTTAAAAAATTGGAATGAGTCATTAAATCTGCACAAAAAGGCATCTGAAATGAAATGGACACACTTCAAATGCCATGCACATTGTCACGGACATACTTAAAAACCTAAAATAGTCAATTGTCATGGAGAAGTAAGATACTTGCCTTTCCTGATTTGCAAAGTGCAGCACACTGTGCTTCTGCTTCAGAAGGGGCTTATAGACAAAATAGCATTTCCCAAGCATCAGCCTATTGATGACCACAAGTTGCATGACATACATAACTTTGCATTTAGGGGGTGGGGGGGGGGTCACTACACTGAACAAATCCACTAGTAAAACATTATATGAAAATGCAATATCACCTCAATTACAGGCACTCCCGTTAGTTTTCAAAGTCTTTTGCAGCCATCATTGTGCTACCTTGTCACCTGTAAAAAGAAGAGGAACACAAGATGTCATGATCTCAATGTCTTCCTTAACACCAGGCTGAAATGACAAAAACAAGATTTTACAAACAAATATATATATATATATATATAACCATCGTGTGAACTGAATTGTAACAAAATTCCCGTTAGTTTTCAAAGTCTTTTGCAGCCATCATTGTGCTACCTTGTCACCTGTAAAAAGAAGAGGAACACAAGATGTCATGATCTCAATGTCTTCCTTAACACCAGGCTGAAATGACAAAAACAAGATTTTACAAACAACTTCATATATATATATATATAGCCATCGTGTGAACTGAATTGTAACAAAAGGTAGAAGTGAAATTTTGAAGTACGATATGAACATGCAGGTACCTCGACAGCTGCAGCCAATTCCTCAGTAGCATCAGCACGCTTTGAGTATCTGCATTGCAAGTGTGATATGAGAAGAACAATTAATGGTGAAGCAAGCAAGCACTTAAGACTACATGACAAACTGAATTTGGGACATAAGTATATCTAAAGAAAGCAAGCAAAGTACCGCTTAGCAAGCTCTTGTTTTTTCAAATCTAGAGGCTTTCCATCAAAAACATAGCTGAAATTAGGGGTGATCATTTTCGGTTCGGTTCAGTTTTTATCAAAAAAAAATAACCAAACCGAGAAAAAAAAATTTGAAAAAAAAAACCGAAACCAGGTCAAACCGACCGGTTTCGGTTCGGTTCAGTTTTTTAGGGGAAAACCGGTTCAAATCGGTTTGGCTCGGTTTTTCTCGGTTTTGGCTTGGTTTTTCCAGTTTGGCTCGATTTTTTTCAGTTTCGGTTCAGTTCGGTTTTTCAGGTATAAAACCGAACCGAACCGGCCGGTTTTTTTAAAATTTTAATCTGTTTTTTTTTGTTCGGTTTTTTTGGTTATTTTTTTTCCAATTTAATCGGTTATTCGGTTTTTTTGCTCACCCCTAGCTGAAATATTGGTTAACAAAATTTGCATGGCAGTTTCAGTAAAAAAAAAAATATATGAAAGAAATAAAAGAAGCTAACAATGATGAAAGAGAGAGAAAAAGAAGAGAAGGGTAGTGCTATTGTTAGATAATTACAGGGGCTTAATTCCAGCCTCGAGAAACCTAATAGCGCGATTAAACATCCCTTGCCAATGACTACGAAATAAATCACCACAAAAAAAATAACAATAGCAATCAAATACAAGTAATTCCATTTTATCTACATATACAGGTAAAAAAAACACTAAAAGAAAGGAGGTAGCAAAAAATATTATTAGTCTGCATCCAACCTGGTGATTTCACCAGCCTCATTAGTCAGCATTTCAGTTCCACTTCTTCCGACTACAATCTGCAATGCACAAACGCATACATCATACTGTCTTTCAGATTACTTTTTTGTGAATCCAAATCAAATCAAGATTCTTCCTTTTTCATTGAAAATAATAAACTAAATAAAAAACTTCAAAAAGGGGGGAGATTTAATTAATAAGAAAGAGAGACAGACAAGGAACTGTAAATGCTCATGCCGGCATCGATAGCAATCTTGCGGCCGAAGTAGCTCTCGAATTTCTGCTCTTTCATGGCTTTTGGTACATTGTCCGCCAACAGCTTTGTTAAACCCTACTTTTCAATCCATTGAAATTAACTCCCAAAATCACAACAAAAAAAAAAAAACCCTAATTTCTCATCAATATGACAAATTACTGCAAAAAGAGAAAAGATAAAGATTTGTATTGAACTCGCTCACTTGCTCACCTTGATACCCATTACTGAGTTGATTCAATTGACTTTAGCGCCGAGAGAGAAAGCTTTACTGATACTGATGCTCGTAATTGTAGCGAATAGCAAGCCGAATGTGTCATCTTGCTTCTCTTTCCCACCCACTCCTCTAGCACTACGCAAACAGAAGAGTACACAACACATGGACCTTCATTTCGTCCACTCTCTTTAACCTTTGGGCCATTCCACCTTTTATCAGGACTTATGGTCCAAACGTTTGGGCCAAGTAGCTGAACTTTTTGGGCCCGTTTCTAGTACTTATCGGTCTCTCTTCGGCCCCTTTTCCTTCAATCTTGGGCCATTTCTCCTCTTATTCGTACTCATAAGCCCCCTTCAACCCTCTTACCTTTAACATTTGGGCCATCAACCCTTTTATCTGTACTTTAAGGCCTCCCTTCGGCCTACATTCCTTTAATCTTAGGGCCACTTTGGCCTTTATCAGCTAATATAGGCCTAACATAGCCCCACTTAACTTTAATGTTAGGGCGCTTTCCTCGTTTTATTATGGGCCTATCTTCGGCTTGGCCGTTAATATTAGGGCCATTTCGATGTAATGTTGGCCACTTTTAGCCCAATTACCTTCAATCTTACGGGCCTCTTTTTTGGCCCACGTTCCTTTAATCTTAGGGTTACTCTTTAGAACTGGCCTCTTTTAGCCCGATTTCTGTCAATCTTATGGGTCTCTTTTCGGCCTAATTTACCTTAATATGAAGGGCCTCTATTCAGCCCAATTACCTTATCTTACGGATCTGATTTCGGCCCAAATCTGTAGTCTTTCTGGCCTACCCTCTGCTCAATTTCTCTTTCATGCCCAATCGCTTTTAATCTCACGGGCCTATCTTCAGCCCAGCTATCTTTAATTTTACTGGCCTCTCTTATCCCAATTTCCTTTAATCTTCCAGGCCTTTTTTCGGGTCAACTCATTTAGTCTTCGGGCCTCTCTTCGGCCCTATTACAGTTTTCTGTACTTATGGGCCTCCCCTGGGCTCACTTAACTTTAATCTTAGGTCAATTTTCCCTTTTATTCGCACTTATTATGAGCCTCCCTGTAGACCTTTCCTAACAAAAGGCTATTGTCCAGAGTAAAAAGAAAAGGTTAGAAATGCTAATTAAAAAATATCATGAAAGAATACTTTAATTATCTATAATGCATAATCAGTTTAATTTATTATAGAATTTTGAGAAAACTGCAACTTCAGTAAAACACAACTGTGAAGTACATTCGACAGCTAGAGCTAAAATGATATGAAGAATGGAGTAGAAAATGATGGGGTCATCAACATAGCACCCAGATTTTTGTGTTTCTAGGCCAGAGAACAATTTACATAGCAATTGTCTATACCGAAGGTAGAAATTACATAGCAATCTAAGCAATTGTCTATACCGAAGGTAGAAATTAATGCAGAAATGTTTTACATCGTTGTTAGATTGTAGTGAGGATACCAATGCGAAAATCTAACTCTTCTTAATCTTTCGCTCAAACTGTGCATAACTAATTTGTTCACTAACTTGTGCATAGAAGAAGACATATATAGGAACTAATTGGTTCGATAACTTGTACGTGGAAGAAGACAATACAAGGATAGGCAACTCATGGAGCTCTGTCAACAACTTGTAGATGGTATCTGTGATACTTCCAAGTGAGCCTTTGTTCCCTCCGTCGACCAACCAAGATTCGTTCCTGAGCAAGCTTTCAAGACAATCAAACGTTAATTGTGTCGATCTCAAGAGATTAATTAGCATTCCAAGAGGATGTGGTTTGATGCTTGTGGAAAGAATTAATTACAATGCTGCCATGTTGAATCAGTAGATAAATTTGGAAAAAAAAAAAAAAAGTGTCACTTTCTTGATCAGCTAGCAGCTGGTAATTATAATATTTTTTGTTGGAGGGGTGATAAATGACCTCGCAGAAATGCAACTCGCTTTCTAGTTCCCTACACTCAGAAGAAACAACGAAGTTATAGAATGAGAGAATCATAAGGCGGGTAATCTTATGCCATAAAACGTTATAAACTAGGCTTGGCATGTGTTCTATTTATAAGGTGCCTGCACTTTCTAATTGTCTCAAGCTGCATTCTTGATCAAGCATTCACTTCACCATGGTGAGTCTCAGGCCAAAGCCAATCTTGAATCAAAACACTCATTAAGTCTTTAACATGCCTAAATTATAAATGTGGGTGCATGCAGGGAGATGTGGAGGGTAGCAAGGAAGATCACGTGCCCCTCGGCCTTGCAGGGAAGAAAGGGAGAGGTGGATTTAGGGCAACCATATTTGTGTATGGTATGCAAGAAAATTAATCGTATTAGCATCATTTACCTTTCAGGAAATTAAGAATTTTAATGTCTATGCCTGTGTTGACTTATCATGTCTCTTGTTTTACTACAGGCTTGGTGGCATTGGACAGCATGGGTTTCGTAGCAAACATGGTTAGCTTGGTTCTTTACTTCATGGGAGTGATGCACTTTGACATACCAACCTCAGCCAACACTCTAACAAATTTAATGGGCTCAACATTCTTGCTCACCGTTCTGGGTGGCTTCATCTCGGATGCGTACTTGAACAGACTTCATACTGTTCTACTTTTCGGCTTTCTTGAGATTATGGTATGAATTTAACTAGTTTGCCATCAGTTTCTTTGATGCAAATCTATAACTTAGCTTTCATCTCCTCCACGATGAATACTGCTTGCTTGAACAGGCTTTGGTGTTGATAACAATTCAAGCTCATGCAAAAAGCATGCACCCTCCAGCATGTGGCAAGGCAAGTTGTGTGGAGGGTGGTATAGAATTTATGTTGTACTTCTCGCTGGGTTTGCTAGCATTGGGTTCTGGTGGAGTTCGAGGAGCTCTACCAGCTCTTGGTGCTGACCAATTCAATGAAAAGGACCCAGAAGAAGCCAGGGCACTTGCAAGTTACTTCAATTGGATGACACTTAGCACGGTGGTTGGAGCTGTTGTTGGAGTCACGGGCATTGTTAATCTTAGTATGTTTCATGGTTGGTGGAAGGGGTTTCTGGTATCAACTGTAGGGACCTTCATTGGTTTCGTTATTCTGGCCGCCGGGAAGCCTTTCTACCACCTCCGACAACCAGGAGACAGTCCCCTTATCAGGATTGCACAGGTATTCCCTAATATCCATTCTATTGCTCTCTCCATGTATTTAATTATAGGGTCTGTATGCACAACCGCCTATCATTCGTTCATTGATTAATCTTCCTATTTAGGTTTTTGCTTTGGCCATTAGAAACCGACGATTGCCATTGCCAAAGGTTGAAGAATTGTATGAGATCAGTCACAAAGAAACCATCGCTTATGAGGAAAAACTTGAGCACACTGAACAATTCAGGTAGCTTAAGTCATGACTACCAGTCTACCTACCATACATGTAGTAAAGCAACATGTTCCTTAATTAGTTATGCAACATGTTCCTTAATTAGTTATGCAGCCAGCAGACAGGACAGGTAGCGTTTGTTTTCTGATGAAGTTTCAATTTATTGATCAGATTCCTAGATAAGGCTGCAATTCTTCCTGAAGGCATGCAACCAGCGCCATGGAAAGTTTGCTCTGTGACACAAGTCGAAGAAGTGAAGATCCTAACAAGGATGTTACCTATATTAGGCAGCACTATCATAATGAACACATGTTTAGCACAGCTCCAAACCTTCTCAGTGCAACAAGGAAACGATATGTATCGCAAAATTGGCAAACATGATTTTCCTGCCCCATCAGTTCCGGTAATTCCACTCGTATTTATGGTCATACTCATACCTGCCTATGAGTTCTTCTTTGTTCCTTTTGCTCGGAAGTTCACTGGCCATCCGGCAGGCATCACGCAACTTCAGCGTGTGGGAGTTGGTCTAGTTCTCTCGGCCGTTTCAATGGCCGTAGCTGGAATAGTTGAAGTAAAAAGAAGGGACCAGGCACTTAAAGGCCATCTCATAAGTCTTTTCTGGCTTTCTTTCCAATATGGAATATTCGGAATAGCAGACATGTTCACCCTCGTAGGACTATTGGATTTTTTCTACAAGGAGGCACCTTCAAGCATGAAATCAATGTCTACTTCATTCACTTGGCTTTCGTTGTCTTTCGGCTACTTCTTGAGTACTGTTTTTGTGAATCTGATAAATGCCGTCACCAAAAGAATTACACCAAGCAGACAAGGATGGTTACATGGGCAATTGTTGGACTACAACAATTTGAATCTGTTCTACTGGTTTTTAGCCATCCTCAGCTGTCTCAACTTTTTACTCTATCTCTACTCGGCCTCATGGTACAAATATAAACCGGATGACACAGAGTCTAATAACAAGCCAAAAGCGAAGGATTCGGGTGAGGGATTGCTTCTTGCCAAGGAAAGTAGTGGGGCTAAGACAGATGAAGAGGAAAGTAAGCAGAATGCAGCAAAGAGGAATGAAGAAGAAAGCGCACAGGAGACGGATGATGCTAAAGCAAAGGCTCCCTCTTCTGAGCAATCCAATGGAACAAAATAAAACAAAACAAAAAAAAAATAACAATTTTAATGAAGCCCCCCCGGAACAAAATAAAACAAAACAAAAAAAAAAATTGACAATTTTAATGAAGCCCCCACCCCCCCACGGGAAAAAAAAAAGAGTAGAAGAAGAATTGAAGATACTCATTGCAGCAACTGAATGGAGCTATTGGCAGAAATTGTCCTAGTCTTGGGGTGATCAGTTTGATGTTCCTTATAACATTTTCACTTTTTCTTTGTTTGATGATGAGAAAAATAATGAAGAATGGGCCTTCTTGCATGTTGGAGAAATTAATAAATTGAATTCGGTAGGTCAGGTACAGAAGTTGGAGGTTTATAAGATTGTTGCTCGTGTATTTATAACGCCTCGATTTTGTCCCTCTCCAAGTATAGCTAGGGCTTATGAAATTGAGGTGCATGCTTCCGGAGAAATCAAGAACAGCGAGTGAAGTCCATGGGCCAATTAAGCTCACATGAAGGCCTGGTGATCCTTGTATTGCCCAGCCAAACCTGACCCGGACCTTTGTGTTCTTGACGAGCAAGCAGTTAGACGCCATTCGCATAGCTTCTGCTTCTTGTTTACATCAAGTAACTTAACCATGTACAAACCTAAGTACTAGGGATCAAACACTCAACAAATTTGAACTTAGTTTAAGTAAAAATTTATTTGAATATATCTATTTGCATAAGCTATTGGGTGGAGTTTGGTTAATATTTAAGAATAGAAAACACACGCTTGGTTGAGAAAATATGTTTTTTTAATAAATTTATATCTTTTTCAAAGCATGAACAATGAGAGATATACTCTTGTACCATGAGTTAAATTTTTTATATTAAAAATATTAAAAAAAAATAAAATCTAAAAGTGTTAAGTTTTTTTATAAAGCTCTACCTAAAAGTATTGAGTTTGTTCATTGTGCTTAATTCAAAAGTTATATTTATAATATTAGTAATAATATCAAACTTGCATACGCTAAGTTTACGTGAGTTTTATTGCAATATCAAACTTGAAATCTTAGATATGAGTCTGATAACAAATTATGTGAAAAAAATATAATAATTAAAAAGAATAAAACTAATATTATAGAATAAGATTAAAAAAAGGATTAATTGTAAAGAAAAAAACAATAAGCCAAAGCATTATTCCGATAAATATTACTTTACAATGAGGGGTACAGTAAAATCCTCTTATGAAATCACAATAATTTAATGAATAGTAAATAAAATAAATCATAAAATTCAATTCTTGATCAAATCGATATTAAAGGATGAAATTAAAAGAAAAAACCACTTAAAAAATTTGAATTAACTGGTTTAACCCGTTAAACCTGAGATTCATGTTATGAAATTGAAAAAAAAAAGGTTGATGCTTTTTGGTAATGGTTAATTGCAATATTTAAAGATGAAATTGGAAGAAAAAAATCAATACAGAAAAAAATTGAATCAACTAGGCTAGCTCACCAAATTAGGTTAACCCGTCAAATCTAGAATCCGTGTCATGAAAGTGTAATAACTAAATAAAAAATTAACATTGATAAACTAAATTAAATAAATAAATTAGATAAAAAGAAAAAACAGCGGACAAAAAACCTATAAGAACAAAAAAACCAATGAAGAAAAAAATCTGAACTAACTAGATTAACCCGTCAAATCAGGTTAATTCATCAAACCTTAAACTTGTATCATAAAAGTTTAATAATTAAATAGAAAAAAATTAATATTAATAAACTAAATTTAAAAAATAATAATTAAACGGAAAAAAAAAAGGAAAAGGCAAAACAAATACTAAAAAAAATAAAAATATTAATTTAAAAGAAAAAAACTAAGAAGAAAAGGCCTACATGAAGAAAACAAAAGTAATGAAGAAATATAAAAAAAAATCTAAATTAAAGAAGTTAACTTTTCAAATTAGATTAACCAGCCATACTTAGAATTCATATCATAAAAGTATGATAACTTAATAGAAAAAATAATTACAGGTTAACCTATAATTAGTTGTTAACTTAGAATTAGTTGGGTTAAATCGTCAAACTCAAGATTTGTGTAGTAAAAGTTTAATAATTAAATAGAAAAAAATTAACATTAACAAACTAAATTAATCAAAAATATTCATTCAAAAGAAAACCAAGAAAAAAATATGGATTAACATGTCAACCCGGAATCCATGTCATAAAAGTTTGATAACTAAATAAAAAAATATTAACATTTATAAATTAAACTAAACAAAAAAATATTCATTAAAAAAATGAAAAAATGGAAAAAAAATTCCCTAGCCTTTTCACTGTAGGTTAATTATAATATTAAAACATGAAATTAGAATGGAAAAATTAATGAAAAAAAATAAATCAACTGGGTTAACCTATCAAATTAGATTAACCCGTCAAATTTGGGATTCATTTCATAATAATGTGATAACTAAATAAAAAAATTAATATTAATAAAGTGAATTAAAACAAAGATCATTTTAAAATAAAAAATAAAGAAAAAAACCTAAAAAAACTAATAAAAAAAAGAAAAGAAATATGAATTAACTGGGTTAATCTATCAATCTTGAGATCTGTATTATAAAAATATAATAACTAAATTTTAAAAAAAATGACTAAACAAAAAAAAAGATTAATTTACAAGAAAAAATAAAGGGAAAAAAAAGCCTATATGAAGAAAAAAAACTAATAAAAAAAATATATAAATTAATCAAATTAACCTGTCAAACTTAAGATTTATGTCATGAAAGTTTGATAATTGAATAGAAAAAAAAAAGTTTACTGGTTAACCTAAAATTAGCTGGGTTAATCCGTCAAACTTGGAATCCGTGTTATAAAAATTTGATAATTAAATAAAAAATATAACATTAACAAAAAAAAATTAATTTAAAAAACTACAATAAAAATCAGGGTTAACCTGTCAGATTTGAAATTCTTGACATTAAAATTTAATAAATAAATAAATAAAATTAATATCAGCAAAATAAATTATCCAAAAAAATTATTAAAAAAACAAAAATTAAAACAGCTCAAAAATAAAAAGCAAAAGGATAAAAAAAATAACTTAAAAAAACAAAGAAAAAAACAGAAAAAATAAAAATTACTAAGCCGTTTTAGTTATAGTTAATATATATTTAAAACATGAATCTAATTAAGATCGATTATAATCCCGAGGCAGCTTGCAAGAAATCTGGCATGATAAAAAGCAATCAGAGCAAAAAGGGCACCGACAGATGAAATGAAGGTGGGTGGCCCACTATCAAAGACGAGAGAGACAAGGAGAGAGCATGCCCAAAGCACATGGAACCTCAACCAACCTTCCAGGTTGATGCTGGACCAGGTGCAGCATGCAAAATATCCCCTTGCCGGAGCACATGATCTCCCATATATCTCAAGTGCATCTCTTAGGTTAAATGGATATCTAGCTCTTAAATTAAGATTAATTAGTGTTTGACTTGAATACACACACACGCTTGGTTAACTGGTCTCTCCATTCACGTCACCTGCTTCTTCTTCTTCTTTAGTTCGCCGGTACATCGAGGAGGCGGTCCGTCCATGTGCTTCACCGTTAACTATTTATTTTATTCGATTTTTCTGACAGGTATTAATCTTTCATTTTTAATTTTAGATTTCATCCCCTGAACTATATTTTATCTGTATAGGTTTTTCTTCTTGGAATGGTTGATTGAGGAGTTGTACTCTATTGTTGATGATGCAATTAACTTCTATCCCTTGATGGATGTGGAGTAATTTTACGGTGTTTATGGATTAACTAAGTGTATTTTTTTATTTATTCTTATTATTTTTTAAAAGTCATTAATTTGATGAGGACCCCATTCGGAAGCTGAAAAATGCGTACAGGAGGAGGTTGCGGAAGAAGCAAGCAGAATACAGCCGCACGACGGCAGCAAAAATCCTTGTGAAAGGAGTTGCAGCCACAGCACGTTACGTTGTAGATGTTGCTGTTTTTTTTTTTTTCTGTGGTAGTTTTTAATTATTAAAATGTTCTTTACCCAAAAAGATATCAATATAAAACGAAAAATTATTTTTATATATTTTTAATTAATAATATGCGTTAAAAAAAAATTATACGACATTATTAAATATATGGATCTTCAGTAGGAAGTTGGCCACAGTAGACAGGAATCCTTGTGGTAAGTGGAAACAGGTGAGGAAAAAGAGGGAAGCAGAGTTCAAAAATAGAAAGAGAAATGTGCGGCAGAGACAATGATGAGCGGCAAAGCTAGCTTTGAGAAGTTTTGAGATGGAGCTCGGCATTGTGTACAAATAATTGTTTATTTAAAAATAATAAAAGAATAGTTAAATTATATATTTTTAATATTTTTAAATTGTTTTGATGTATTAGTATTAAAAATAAATTTTAAAAATTAATTAAAAATATTATTTTGAAGTATTTTGAAATAAAAATTAACTTTAAAAAACAATTTTACAATTGAATTTCGAATTTTATAGGACAGCTGCTTTATATTACATTATTATAGTTATTAGTTAATTTCAGCCATTAAAACTCGTGTTAGCTCAACTGGCAATATTCACATGGTATATTTTTAAACCGACATGTAAACATGCAATCTCTAGTTAACCAGATCTCCCCTGCACACTCGTGGGTCACGTGGTCAAGCATTGCTAAAATCCTATAAACAACCAAGATGTATTCAAGGGTATAAGAAATAAAATATCAAAAACTTTCGAGAACCTTGTTTGAATTTTGAGTCCTGTTTTGATAGAGTCTCTTTCAGTAATTATAACTGGTGTCAGGCTTGCTATAAATACCTGGCGAGGAGGGCAAGTCAGGAAAGAAAGGGTCAGGCTGGCTGGCTAGGGTCTTGTTCATTTCGATGCGAAGCAGCCAGCAGGCCGGAATAGGGGCTGGAACTCACAACGTAGCTAAGGTAGCTGATTACCGGCAAATTGCATGGGACCGGACCGTAATACCAGGACAAGCTGTTCATGGAGAAAGGGAGTCAAGAAAGACAGGCCACCTTCCACACCCCAC